ATTTTGAAGATAAGGAAACTGAGGCAAACAGTTAAATGACTTGCCCAGGGTCACACAGCTAGTAAGTGTCTGATGCTAGATTTGAACTCAGGAAGATGAGTCTTCCAGGCCTGGCACTTTATCCACTGTGCAACCTAGCTGCCCTATCTAATACAATGTTGATCCACAAAGACTGAAAGACAACACTTCAATTACAGGTTACCACACCAAACATTCAATATGTAAATAACTACACACAAGGAAGTGATTTGCAGGATAAACTGGAGATAAACAACAAGGGCACACTCTAATTTTAAGTGGAACTGGGAAAGGGTTCATGTTATCAGGTGGAATTTTAGCTGAGACTTGAAGGAAGCCAGGAGGCAGAGATGAGGGAGAGCATTCCAAGTATGGGGGTTAACCAGTAAAAACATCCACAGTAGGAATATGGGAGAGTCTTATGCAAGGAATAGAAAAAAGGCCAGTGTCACTCAGCTGAATATGTTGAGGGGCTATTTCAACAGTCCAGATGTGAGGCAATTAGGGCCTGTACCAGAGTGGTGGCAATGGCAAAGGAGAAAAGAGGTTATATTGTATAGTGTATTACCCTTTCCTTACCTTTTCTTTTTTCTTTTAAAAGAATTAAAATATAAGAAAGCTTCTCCTATGTTCCCTGTTTTATCTTTTTTATTTAATAAAGGTTGACTTGAGCTGTTTTATTCAGTTTTTAATGCAGCAAAAAGTTACATTGACCTTCTCTGTTGTTTAGAATAAGAGCATTCTAAATTTAAGTAGAGATGCAATAAGTACTTTTAATTAGGTATTGCTGTGGAACCAACAAAAAGTCTTAATAAAATGGTTTTACTGAACCATATACGCTAGATAGTATTGAACCTGAATGACAAACTTCAGATACCAACTATTTGACTGTATTTTTTTTATATTAACAAAAGAGTATGTAGACAACAAATATCACATAATTATTCTTCAATAGATGAAGAAAAGGCTTTTGACAAAATAACAACACTCATTCCTATTAAAAACATTAGAAAGCTTAAAATGGTAAATAATATCTAACTAAAACCAAGAGCAAGCATTGTATCTAATAAGATCAAGGAAGAAGCAAGGATGTCCATTATCACCACTTTTATTCAATATTGTATTAGAAATGCTATTTATAGCAATAAGACAAGAAAAAGAAATTAGAGGTATAAAAATAGGCAATGAGGAAACAAAATTATCACTCTTTGCAGATGATATGATGGTATGCTTAGAGAACCCTAGATTTAGCAAAGTTGCAGTATATAAAATAAACCCACATAAATCACTAGCATATACTACAAACAAAACTCATCAGAAAGAGATAGAGAAATTCCACTTAAATTACTATAGGCCATATAAAATAAACTCGGGGAATATATGAACAAGATTGATTACAAGACACTCTTTACACAAATAGATCTAAACAATTGGAGACGTATTAACTATTCGTGAGTAGATCAAGCCAATATAATAAAAATGACAATTCTACCTAAATTAATTTACTTATTATTCAGTGTCACATCAATCAAACTACTAAAGAATTATTTTATACAGCTAGAAAAAATAGTAACAAAATTCACCTGGAATAACAAAAAGTCATGAACATCAAGGAAATCAAAGAGAAAAAAAAGGTAAAGGAAGGAGGCCTAGCAGTACCAGATATCAAACTATATTACAAAGTGGTAATCATGAAAAAAATCTGTTACAGGCTAAGAAATGCAGTAGTGGAGCAGTAGAATAGATTAGGTATACAATACACAGAAGTAAATGACTACAATAATCTAGTGCTTGATAAACCCAAAGATTCAAGCTTTTGGGGTACGAACTCACCATCTGAGTTCAAAATTGCTGGGAAAACTGGAAAGTACTTTGGAAGAAAGTAGGCAGAGACCTATGTCTCAGTTATCTTTAATCTCTCCCTGTCTCCTGGCTGCTTCCTTATTGCCTACAAACAAGTTTGTGTGTCTTCCATCTTCAAAAAAACCTCACATAATTCATCCATCCCAAATAGCTACCATCCCATATCTTTAGTGGATAAATACTTTGAGAAGGCTATCTACAAAAGATGACTTCACTTCTTTCCTCTCACTTTCTTCTTAACTCTCTGCAGTCTGGCTTTTACTCTCATTATTCAACTGAAATTGCTCTCTCATAAGTTAAAAACATTCTGTTAAATGCCAAATCTAATGGCTTTTTCTCAGTCTTTATCCTTATGGATCTCTCTGCAGCTTCTGACACTTCTGACTACCCTTTTTTCCTGGATATTCTCTTCTCTCCAGGTTTTTGTGATACTATCCTGGTTCTCCTCCTACCTGTCTGGATACTCCTTCTCAGTCTCTTTTTGCAAATCTTCAGCCAGGTAACATCCACTAACCACCAATGTCCCCCAGGTTCTTTCCTGAGCCCTCTTTTCTTTTTCCTCTATTTTCTTTCACTTGGAGATCTCATCAGATACCATGGATTCAACTATCATCAGTGTGCCAATGATTTTCAAATCTATGTATCCAGCCCTAACTTCTATAACTTCCAGTCTTGAATATCCAACTCCATTTTGAGTATCTCAAATTGGATGTCTCACAGACAATCTTAAACTCAATATGTGCAAAATTAAACTTATTATCTTTCCTCCATCGCCCTTTTGGCCAAGTTCTCCCCTTTTTCCTAATTTTCCTGTTACCGTCAAGGATACCACCATATTTCCAGTAATTCAAGCCTACAATTTAGGCATCATCTTCAAATCTTCACACTCATTCCCTTCCCCACATCCAATTGGTTGCCAAGTCCTATCAATTCTACCTTTGTAATATATCTTATATACATATATATATATGTGTGTGTGTGTGTGTACGTATATATGTATATATGTGTATGTGTGTATATGCCCCTTAAATCTCAGCCAAAGTGCCACCTTCTCAAGAAGTCTTTCCTAGCCCTCCTTAAACTTAGTGCCTTCCTTCTGAAAATATGCCCAATTTATCCTGTTTACATCATGTCTGTATATAATCATTTGCATGTTTTCTCCCTACATTAGACTTTGAGCTCCTTGTAGACAAGGTTTGTCTTTTGCTTTTCTTTGTGAATCCAGTATTTATTACAGTTTCTCGCACATATTAGGCACTTAATGCTTACTGACTGACTACTCAAGGTACCAGATAGTGATGTCAACAGCATGAGCCTTTATTCCCCTGAGCCAATTAGGGATGGCTTAAAGGATGGTTTAAATACCCTCTGAAGAAAAACTAGCTTAACTTACATGACAGTCAGGGAGAGGAAAGAAAATATATATCTCACCACAGTGTTTAGTCTGTCTATATACGCAGAGGATGTAAAGTTCTCTCCTCTGTGGAGCATAAGCTACTTGGAGGCAGATTATTTTATTTTCTATCGTTGAATCTTTGTTTCCAACGTAATAACTTGTGAGGGATTGTCTGATGTTGGCTACGTGCCACGTGGAGGTTATGGCAAGTTGGGGCAGGGACAAGATATTAGGAAGTAACCGGAGCTCACGCTCCCGAGGCAGGGGGCTGTGCCATGTGGAGTTGTGGTGAACTGGGGTAGGAACAGGATATGGGGAAGTAGCCAGAGCATGTGCTCCTGAGGCAGGGGGCTGTGCCACGTGGGAGTGGGACGGCAGAGAACAAGCTCCCTTTGTCTAGTCCTCTGCCTAGGTGCAGCGCTAACCCCAGACGTCTCCTTCCTGTATCCGGGCCTAGCCTCCTGTGTCATGTCCTCTCCCTAGGTGCAGCGCTAACACCAGACGTATCCTTCCAGTATCTGAGCCTAGCTTCCCGTCACATCCTCTCCCTTGGTGCAGTGCTAACCCCAGACATCCCCTTCCGATATCTGATCCTACAATCAATGACTAGTAGGCGGGCTGAGGAGGAGGGGCTAGGAAGGTATATAGGGGCGGTAGGGGTCAGAGCTTGCTCTCTCTTGTTCCTGCTCTCTTGCTCTTGCTTTCCTGCTTGGCCTTGCTGTGATAGCCTCTGAATAAAGCTCGAGTGTTTGCACCTCCTGATCAGCTCGTGGGTGGGCTCCGAAGACTGGTAAGTATGACCCTGGCAGCCTGCTCCTTATAGGAGGAGAGTGCACGGCGCGACCGGCACAATAACTGGCCCATAGTACATATTTAATTAAATGTTAACCAACTGAAACAACAAGTTGATTCAGAAGGGAAGAAGTGTGACTGATAGTCAGAGGTAAAGAAACATGAGTGACATCATGATTGACACATACTCCCAGATAAAAAGCCTGGGTTATGCCAGAAAGGAAAAGAATGTTAGGTAATTGAGAGCCACCTGTATGAGGATCCTAACTGTTGATTGGATCCTGTTGACAATACTGCTACACTAAGTGTTTAGAGTCACCATATGTAGAAGGTGATAAGACACATATTTATTGACTAGTAGAAAAAAGATGACCTGAAAGAAATCTATAGAATGGTTATGTAATTACGGATATCTTTTCTTAACAGCACTGCTACCAAATGATAATTTACTTATATGCTTAAAAGGCTTAATAATGAAAAGGCAAATTGTAGCAGAGTAAAAAGCAAACTCCAACAGTAAGTGAGAGACCTGAGCTCTGATTTATAACTCTGACATGAGCCAGCTTTGAGATCCTATTTAAGTCATTTCATCTGTTTGGGTCTTAATTTCTATGAATAAAATGAAGATGCTGGACTAGATCAAAAAATTACCATATACAGGTTTACAACACATGATATAAATAAAAAAATCAATATAAAAATGTACAAGTATCTTAAATGAAAAAAATTACTATTTCTTGACAATATTAAAGGATTATAGGAGATACTGCTATAAATACTAAGTGTCATCCATAATTTCACTATGATATTAGTACAACACTGGAAGAATGGTATTTGCTAATAGAGAGATACCATTTTCTTAATTGATAAGCACTCTGGAGAACTATTTCTGTCTACAAGAAAATATTAATAATGAACTATGGAAATTTACCTGTTATTTGTTTCCTCAACTTCTCAATTTCTTCTTTTAAGTTTTTTATTTCTAAATCTTTGTTTGCAGTTAATGGGCCATCTACAGTTGAATACTGCAGAGCCTGGACTGTCTGTGTTGATTCTTTAAAAAGAAAGAAGGAAAAATAAGATAACAGTGACTCACATGCATTTTATGAACTACATTAACAGACATATGGAAAAATCCTTGCAGAGTTAATGACAAAGTCCAGACATAAAAGTATTATGACTCTAGAACAAAATTCACAAATGTTCTCATTCTTGCCATCTTAAGAACATATGCCTAACGAACTGGGAAGGTATCCTGTACATAACTTGACCTAATCCACAACTCATAGGACCATCTCTCTACTTTGGCCCCAGTGGCCTTCTCACATTGGCGTCTTCCTCACACCGAAGGTCTCTTTCTCAAATCACTGAGTTCCTCCTCAAACCTCCATTTCAGAAAGCCCTCACACCATTCATGCTCTCTTTAAACAGGGAAAAGCACATAATTCCCTTGATTATTTCCTCGCCTTTTCCCTGAGCTGATAGGAAAAACAGAACAACAGATAGATATTTTCTTTTTTTCTACTTCATGGACCAGCTTTACTGGCTTTCATACTTTTCCCCATGTTAGGGGTTCTATATTTGTTCCTTTCCACAGGCTGTCCTCCATGGATACACTATATTAGCTACACAGCTCTGATCTTAGAATAGAACTAGTTTCATTCAAAGTTCAGCTCCAGTCTACATCTTTCTAGATACCTCTAACTGTTAATACTTTCCTCTATCCTTTCCTATTTCTTTCTGTTTATTTTTGAAAATGTTTGTTATATATTCACATATCCCTGTTTTCTCCCTCTTCAGAATATAAGCTCCTTGAGAACAGTGACTATTTAATTTTTGTTTCTGTATCTAGCACTATCTATCACATAAGAGTACAAAACAGTGGCAGCACTACCTTAAAACATTCTTTACCTTGAAGCTTTCTACTAAGCTCAAGTTTTTCCTGTTCAAGACGTCTTATTCTCCGTTCATAAGCTTCAGTTGCTAAACTGTCCTCCAAAGTTCGCTGAATATTGACATCAACATCCACTGAGGGAGGTCCAGCTGTAACTCTTAAACAACTTCGATCTGAAAGAACACTGAAGAAAAGAGAAAATAACTTGGCATCATTTTGAGATGAAAATCTTGAAGATAAGTAAAAACAAGGTTATTCATCATTCATAAAAGAATTTAACTTTTTAACATTCTAGAACAATCAGCAATATTTAAATAAAAAAAGCAACCTCATTTACCTAGTAAAACATTTTAATGAAAATACCAAAATTCTATAGTTCCTTAAATTGGCTTTTTTAAATGACATATAAAGTTGCCTAAAAAAAAAAAGTCTGGCTCTTTAAAGAATAACAAGAATTTCTATCAATATAGTTATGTGAAAGCATTTCAGCTAATATCATCAATGTTTTGTTACATAATTCTATTGATTAGAATGATATTCAAATACATAATGGTTCCTTAACTACAAACACACAAATGGATCTGTGATTCTCTCTGTTTGAAGGTTCTTTACCAATTAATCCATGCCTAAGCATCCCATGAACCTTCTTTTCCTGTGAAGATGCTTATGCCAAACTCTGTTGAGTGGTTCTGGCTCTCTCAGAGAAGACTGTTGGAGGTTCTAGAGCTAAATGTAACTGGCGATGCTATCTCTTGTGTTTTTCAAGAAATCTTGACTAGGGAAGATGGTGGAATAAGACAGGAAATACTGGGCTCTCCAAAATTCTCACTCAAACAAGATAAAATATTGCCTCAAAGTGAACTTTCAGCAGCAGAAATAATCTAAGACAACTGGAGAACAACTCAGGAAACACCTGACCTCCAAGAGCCTAGGTTTGGCCCAATGAAGTGTAAACATCTCCAGGCAGACTCCCCTAAATTAACAAACAACAAGCCCTGGAAGCAACTGGGATTCAGGAAACTTTACCTTACAGTGTGGTGGTGGGATAGCTGATCAGGGGAGGATTGAAGGACCCTGCACTCTTGTGGGACACCAGGCCCAGGTGGGTGAGGATTAGTGAGCACATGCCTACTGAGTGCAGTAGCAGAGGAGCAGGGACCCTGCTCACTGTCAGCATTAGCAGGAGAGTCGAATCCTGGTTTTGGTTCCAGGGCAGAGGGGTGAGATGAAGTTTGCAGCCAGGAAAGGGACTGACTGACAAGAGCAAGAGCATTTGCAGTGACAGTGTAGCTGGGGGCACTAGCCTTGGCTCAGGGGCAGAGAGGAGTACCTGAGGTAGGGCCCCTGGCAGAGCTCAGAAAACAACAGAATGAAAAACCTAAAGTCTGAGGCATCATTCCCCACACCTTGGGACTAGAATAGACTATATTAATAAGCCACATATATGAGGATGCATGCGCACGCACGCGCGCGCGCGCACACACACACACACACACACACAAATAGTTAACACAGGAGAAAGAACCTGACCAAAGATAGCTATTATGGGGATAGAAGAGATCTGGGTTTATACTCGGAAGAAGATATAAAGTTAAAAAAGCCCCTCTCACTTCAAAGAAAAATGTGAAATTGCTACATGTCCAAAAAGAGTTCTTAGAACATCTTACTGGGGGGGGGGGGGGGGGGGCGGAGCCAAGATGGTGGAGGGAAAGCAGTGACTGTCTTGAGCTCTCTCCCAAAGCCCTCCAAATACCTAAAAAAATGGCTCTAAACAAATTCTAAAGTAGCAGAACCCACAAAAAGACAGAATGAAACAAATTTCCAGCCACAGACAACCTGAATGGTTGATTGGAAAGGTATATCGCACTGGGCGGGGAGAGGAGCACAGTTCAGTGTGGGTGCCCAGGTCGAAGCAACCCTGGAGCAGGCCTCAGAGGACTGAATCGCGGGCAGCTGTGGTGGTTTCCAGACTTCTCAACCCAGGAACCCAAAGACAACGTGGAAGGTCAGTGGGAAAAGTCTGTGACTGTGGTGAGAGAGCAGTTAGGTCTCAGCCACAAGTCTCGAGCTCGGCCTGGGGAAGTGACTGTTTCCTGAGCTTCTGGCCCACAGACTGAGGGGGAATCAAGTGGCTGATCAGAGGGGGATTGCAAGGATCTCTTTGCCAGTGCTGAGGCAGGAATCTCTTGCTCTACTGGTGCTTGGATCTAGGTCACAGTTCGGAGGGGTGATCCTGGCGTGGTGAAGTTTGTTGTGGCAGCGGAGAGGAAACACCTTGCGCCTTATCATAGCACCTTGGAAGAACTGAAAATTTACAGGTCCCTAGAAGTAGCTCTGAAAACAGCTGTACAAACCCCCGAAGCTTGAGACAGTACACTCTTCACATTGGAAGCAGACTTTTACTTTAACAAAGAGTTTAAAACTCAAGGAATTGGCCGGTATCATGAGTAAGCAGCACAAAAAGAGTCAGACTCTATTATCTTACTTTGGTGACAAAGAAGATCAAAACATGCAACCAGAAGAAGATAACAAAGCCAAAGCTCCTACATCCAAAGCCTCCAAGAAAAATATGAATCAGTCCCAGGCCTTGGAAGAGCTCAAAAGGGATTTTGAGAAGCAAGAAGTACAGGAAAAACTGAGAGTGATGCAAGAAAATCATGAAAAACAAGTCAACAGCTAGCTAAAGGAGACCCAAAAAAATACTTAAGAAAATAACACCTTAAAAAATAGCCTAACCCAAATGGCTAAAGAGGTCCAAAAAGCCAATGAGGAGAAGAATGCCCTAAAAAGCAAAAGTGGCCAAATGGAAAAGGAAGTCCAAAAGCTTACTGAAGAAAATACTTCCTTAAAAATTAAAATAGAGCAATTGGAAGCTAGTGACTTTATGAGAAATCAAGACACTGTAAAATAAATCCAAAAGAATGAAAAATTAGAAAACAATGTGAAATATCTCATTGGAAAAACAACTGACCTGGAAAATAGATCCAGGAGAGAGAATTTAAAAATTATTGGACTATCTGAAAGCCATGATCAACAAAAGAGCCTAGACATCATCTTTCAAGAAATTATCAAGAAAAACTATCCTGATATCTTAGAACCAGAGGGCAAAATAGAAATTGAAAGAATCCACCGATCACCTCCTGAAAGAGATCCCCAAAGGAAAACTCCTAGGAATATTGTAGCCAAATTCCAGAGTTCCCAGGTCAAGGAGAAAATATTACAAGCAGCCAGAAAGAAACAATTCAAGTATTGTGGAAACATAATCAGGATAACACAAGATTTAGCAGCTTCTACATTAAGGGACCGCAGGGCATGGAGTATGATATTCTGGACAGCAAAGGAGATAGGACTACAACCAAGAATCACCTACCCAGCAAAACTGAGTATAATCCTTCAGGGGAAAAAATGGTCATTCAGTGAAATAGGGGACTTTCAAGCATTCTTGATGAAAAGACCAGAGCTGAATAGAAAATTTGATTTTCAAATACAAGACTCGAGTGGAACATGAAGAGGTAAACAGGAAAGAGAAAATTATAAGAGCCTTATTAAGGTTGAACTGTTTACATTCTTGCATGGAAAGATGATATTTGTAACTCATGAGACTTTTGTCAGTATTAGGGTAGTTGGAGGGGAAAAATTATATATATGTATATATAGATATAGATAGATAGAAAGATAGAGGGCACATGGTGAGTTGAAAATGAAGGGGTCATATCTGGAGAATAAAATTAAGGGATGAGAGAGGAATATACTAGGAGAAGGAGAAAGGGAGAGGTAGAATGGGGTAAATCATCCCACAAAAAAAAAAACCCAACAGAAAAGAAAAGGCTCTTACAGTGGAGGTGAAACGGGGGAAGGTGAGAGGGAATGAGTGAATCTTATTCTCACAGGATTTGACTTAAGGAGGGAATAACATACACACTCAATTGGGTATGGAAATCTGTCTTACCCTACAGGAAAATGGGGGGGGGGGGAAGGGGACAAGAGAGTAGGGGAATGATAGAGAGGAGGGCAGATTGGGAAAGGGGGTAATCAGAAGCAAATACTTCTGAGGAGGGGTGGGCGGGATAGGATTAAGGGAAATAGAGTTAGTTTTTCACAGCATGTCTACTATGGAAGTGTTTTGCATAACTGCACATATACAACCTATATTTAGTTGCTTGCCTTCTCAATGAGGGTGGGTGGGGAGGGAGGAAGGGAGAAAATTTGGAACCCAAAGTTTTAAAAACACATGTTTTAAAAAAATATTTTCACATGCAACTGGGAAATAAGAAATACAGGAAATGGGTTACAGAAATCTATCCTGCCCTACAGGAAAATAGAAGGGGAAGGGAATAAGAGAAGGGGGGGAGAGATAGAAGGGAAGGCAGACTAGGGGAAGGGGTATTTAGAATGCATGCCATCTTGGGGTGGGGGGAGCGGCAAGATGGGGTGGAAATTTGTAACTCAAAATCTTGTGGAAGTAAAGGTTGAAAACAAAAAAATAAATAAAAATAAAAATTATCATAAAAAAAAGAAACTGAGGCTCTGGGATATGAAGGGATATGAGCAAGGTCACACAGTTAATGAATGATGTAAATGGGAAGAGAATTCAGGCCTTCTGATTCATTTCCAGGGCTTTTATTTTCCTTGGCTTTCAATAAGATATTTTTAAATAGTCCTCAGACTTCCTGTGGATTATTTACTTTTAGACTATTCTATTCTTTCTTTTTTTATTTTTAACAAAACCTGGATTCTGTTATAGATTTTTTTAATGGAGAAATTAGTTTGTTTTTTAATTATGCATTCCCAGGGAGAAAGATGATTTTACTTCCTTCATAGTATACAGCATTAGCCAGGACCTCATTAGAGCACTGAAGCTACTTGAAATTGGGAAATGAAAAACTTGGAGAGAATGAAGAGGGGGAGGATCAAAGATGATCAAAGCAATGGAAAAGAAAACCTATGAGAAAAGATGTGAGGAATCAGGAATATGCAGATGAAAGAAGGCTGATAACAACTGTCTTCTACTACATGGATGTTTACCATACCAAAGATGGCTGATGAGCTATTTTCCATTACCAGGAAGAACACATTAGGAATAAGAGAGATTTTGTTTTCATTGGGATGATTTTTGTCTAATTACAAAGGATTCCAAAATCATAGACCTAAAAATAGAAGTCAATAATATTTTACCACTGAATA